GTAAAGACCCGGCCAACTGCGCCAGTTATCGACCGATATCATTACTAAACGCTGACCTGAAGCTCTTTACGAGGTTCTAGCTACACGAGTCGGTGGGGTCCTCCCGGAGCTAGTGGACTCGGATCAAGTGGGCTTCATCCCGGGAAGGGGAAGCGAGAGACAACACCATCTGCTCCCCCCTCCCTGCTGACCTACTATAGAGCAATGCACCTGCTCCGCATAGTGGACTGGCATGTTCCAAAGATTTGCAAGAAATGGATACATATAGAATGAGCTCAGGCGGAAGGAACAATACCAGCAGCAATATGGTTGAGCAGTCATCCGAGGAGCCCGCATACACTATAGGGTCAGGAATACAGGTTTGTGTTCCTGACCATATAGTGTTCCATTAGATAAAATATCAAAATCAAAAAGTCCACCCTTTTAAAGTTCCCAAATCAATATCTAGAAATGCAACACCAACCTCCAACCACCAAAAAATTTACTCATCTTAGATTTCAATAGTGTATAAACCAGACTCATCCAACGAGGCGACGTTGAAGATCTGGCACCTCATCAGCACCAAACTCTGGGACATCGGGACATTCGGAACGACGGATCAGCCACACATGCAACAATGGTGCACAAGGGATGCGCTGAAACCGCTACCGGAACTTATACAGGACAGGACCCCAATGGGCATAGAAAGACTACGTTATCTTCAGATTAAAGCATACTACATGTCCCACAATGGTAGGCCTGTTCCACAGGACGCTAACACAGTTTGAGGAAATCTGCCAAGCCAGAGCGCACATATCCAGAGGCATCTCTATGATCTACGCACTACTCCAAGCTGCAGTTAGATCCGAGCCAGCAATATATGGCACGATGGGAAGAAGCCACCGACGTCCTTCTTACAGAACCACAGTGGATGAAAATTCACATACTGAGGCACCAAAGCGCAGTGAGCTCCAAACACCAGGAACTCAATTACAAGCTGCTGACCGGTTGGTACAGGACGCCCGAGAGGATACACAGAATAAAACCGGATGCACCCAACACCTGCTGGAGATGCGGAGAGGAGACAGGATCGGACATCCATATATGGTGGACATGTAGAAAAATAGCCCCGTTATGGAACCAAGTCCATGCCCAGATCAAGACTATCCTAGACTCCGATCTCCAACCTCAACCGCTCCAGATGCTCCTCCATCACACGGAGATGCCCATATCGAGATATAAAAAGACGCTCACGAAACACCTTTTAATTGCAGCCAAACTACTTATTCCAACCAACTGGCGGACCCCCACCATCCGACAATTGATGGACAAGGTAGAGGAAATACACAGGATGGAGACCCTCACAGCAACCCTGAAGGGAACAGTGGACAAATACATGCAGACCTGGACCCCATGGATGGATTTCATATCACACAACAGGACGTGAGACTACCGGTCCCCGTGTGTGGCCAGGGGTGGGAGGGGGGCGGGCGGTGAGGGGGCACGGGACAGTGGGGCACGCGGCGGGCCCAGTGGGATGTGGGAGCCCGCCATTCCCATTTTTTTTCTCCTGCATCCCCTCCTCCTTTCTTTCATTGTCCCCCCATATACGATGACCCGGGTGGACGGGGCCTGCACGGGAAAGGGGGACGAAGGAACGACCAAGGGCTTCCGAACCACGAAACAAACAATCTAGCGGTCAATCCAAAACACACAAACATAACAAGGGAGACCCACAGGCTGATGAAGGGAGGCAAAACGGGTCCAATAGCCCACACAACCGACAAGACAGAATTTGAAGATACAAATAGAACATAAACACGAAAGAAGGTACTTCTGGCATAGAAGGCAGGAACAGACAGCCACGTCGACGAGAGATAACTCGCCCCTATCCCACGACCAGGGATTAACCTATGATAAAAGAAGTGAGAACAGGGGAAGCATTAATACACGCCTATGGGCCCCGAGAAACACATAGGTACAGGAGGTAACCCCATATTGAAGTAGCACACATTAAGGCCAAACAGAATATGGGTAGACAGCTAGCTAACTAGCCTGTTGCTCCGCAATCTCACAAAACAGGCTATAACACTCAAACAAAGAAGCAATAATTTTTCAAACCCAGCAGTGCAGGAGAAAGTGGCATGTTCTGATGCCAGTGATAATGACCAGCTGCACAATGTGTAAATAGCATAGCACTTAAACAATGTTAGCCAAGCATGTTCCGAAATATACAAATGGGAAGTTATATGTTCCAACATTTTACCTTGACACTTTGACCAACTGGCTCTGTAACCAATAAGCTCAGTATCTTGTACTACTACTTAAATATGAAAATATGAAAATAAAGATTGTCAAAAAATAAATAAATAGATGTAATTGATAAGATGGCACTAAAACTATACACAATATGTTAAGTAGTGTTAGAAAACCATTCAGTGTCATGCAGTCGTGACAGACAAAAAAAAGCAATAAACCTTGTACAATAATGTGAAAAATAATATGTCCTACTTTGCCCACCCTAGTAGAATTTATTAGTGCAGAATGTGACAAAGAGATACAATCAAATTTCCTCTTTTTGTTACCAAATATGTTCCCCTACAAGCACTATCAGTGCCTCAAATCACAGACTATAAACTGACATATAAAAAAAACTGTATACTGTACGCTGGTATGCATCGACAGGATATTATTCATGCCCTACCCACAAATGGCACTCACATAACATGAGTCACTCCGTGTTACTTAGACTTGATAGCCTGTGGCTGATCAAACCGTTTTGTATGGCAGATCTTATATCAACAAACACTAAACAGAAGAAAAGAGAGAAAGTTGTCCGCTCAGTGTAATAACTTCTTATTAAACAAGAAATCTTCCTTTTTAAGTCACCGTAATCATTCAAGTGTCAGTCATCCTCTTCTTCAGTTATATGATAATAAAGTATGTATTTGCATCATTTTGATTAAAGAAATGCTCCAAGCACCATAACATAGCTCTCTATAGTGGTTATGGTGCAGAAATGCCCTGGTGTCCTTCCATTTTAAGGAGTTAAACCATGTTGGAATGGTTTACCTTCTTATCTAGGTCTGCAGCCCCTGGCCCTGTCACAGTGAAGATAAGAGTTCCAGAGGTTATAATTTAAATGGAGTATATAAATGGAGATTCAACAATTTCTGAATCTCATTCGTAATTTGATTCTACCCCTACACAGTCTGAAAAATAAAGATAAAATATTCTAAAATATGAATTAGGAGAAAGGGACTCATAATCCTCTTAACATATCACATTGCAATGCATTGCAGGAAAAAAGTATAAATAATTGAACATAATATTTAATTTAGCAACACAATTTATATCTAGTCTGCTCTATATGTAAAGGTTTTTGGCTGATTAGATGTTATTCATAAAACGTCAAAATAGTTGACCAGAACCTAACTGTATTGTGGCAGAATAAGAAGCAGGAAATTAGCATGTGTGATGTAAGTGTAATTAGTTTCACAAAGCAAATCACATTATTAATCAGTGGTAGACAAGAGAAGCCGTATTGTATAATATTATGGAACTCATTCGGAATGTTATGGAATATTGCAGGTCTTGTGTTTTGTAGTTAGCTGGGGTTGTTTGTATCTCACCAATCTGTGAATCAACAATATTATGTGAAATAAAATTCCTCATAGAACACGGAGAGATATTTCTAGGGTGTGAAGAAGAGAAATAGATTTCCACACCACACTGATATCCACCGTCATCCTCCTGTTCTTATCCTCTATTTGCTTTATCATCCGTCTTTGTTTCTGCACTTTTCCACAGTCGCCTTACTCTTACATGTAGACCATCCCCCATGTTTTCCCGATTTGTAGCTTCGAGCTTTGTCCTACATTTATATTTTCTTTATTGTAAATATAGGTTTATGTGAAATATAAATAAAATATGCCTTTAGGCAAACCAAGAACATGATTGCATAATGGAATTTGAACGCTTTGTGCACAAAAGGTGGGGGGAAAAAATCTTTGTTGCTAAGTCCCCCTTTGTTCAAAATCTTGTCTTTTAAATATTATGATAGTCCAATAAAAAAAGGTATCATTGCATATTGCAATACTCTGGTATTTTGGCATCTGGTCTACTGAACTAATACAGCTAATCCAATCTACACTATATATATTACAATATATATACTATCTATATAGTATATATATTGTATTATTTTTTTGTAATACTATATTGTACCCTATTGTAACAATAGTGGGTCCAGGACATACTTGAAAACAAGAGAAATCTCAATGTAACCTTCCTGGTAAAATATTTTATAAATCAATTAGCAGAGAATAATATTCTATCTGAGACCTGTAGATGGCACTCTTGCTCTCATTCTTCAATCCAGCATTCACGTGAAATCAGACAACCTTAAAAGCTCTGTGATAGGCCTACAGAGCTTTTCATAAAATGCACCAGCTGGCTGCACCCTAAACATAGTATTTCTTTTATTTCTATAAATGTTTTTTTCCAGTTTCAAAATAGAGGTACGTAAAAACAAATCAATGTTTTCTCCCCTCAATTGATTTCACGGTCACTCCCAAAATATCTATTTGCGTATTGTTTATAGATATACATTTTTAATCTTAAAGTAATTATGCAAACATATATTTTGATATATTGCAGCATACATGAATACATTTACGAGGTTGCAGTGGTTATATACATCTATTGTAAAATATATTTGGGCTTTGTAGCTGGATTGTCGCTGCACTCTTGGATTCATTGACATAGAGATGATTCCATACACGGTTTAAATCCAAGTTACATTTATTAACTAAGAAAGTGCAATACATAGAAATCAAAAAAAGAAAAAATGTGTAACTGCCAAAAAACATGGAAGAAGGTGGGGTGGTATTAGCAGACTGATCCTGTTTTGTGCCAAATGCTTACTGAACATGCCAAAATACTACGTTCTTTTTTTCTTTTTCATTTCAGTTCTGTGGCTTGTCGTCATCTAACTGCTTAGAACATAACATAGTATAAATATGTGTTAGTAAACTTTCAGCATCATTAGAAGTAACAGTGTGAGCAGAAGCAGGGGTAGATGAGGATCCCACAATCTCCAATAAAGATTCAAGAATTCCACTGGAGTCACTAGATGTACCAAACAGACCTGTATGAAAATCTGATGCAGTTAGTGGGAGCTGAGTCTGATTCATAAAATATATACAATGATTAGCAACAACATTAACACCACTGACAAGATGAAGTGAATAACATTATATTGATACTATGGCACCTGTCAAGGGGTGGGATATATTAGGCAGCAAGATGAGCAGACAGCTCTTGAATTTCATGTGCTGAAACAGGAAAATGGAAAAACAAAAAGATCTGAGTGACTTTGTCAAGAGCCAAATAGTAATGGCTGTGTGTGTGTGTCTTCCCTTTATTTCCTTGCTTTTCTTTCTTTTTTTTCTTTTTTCTTTTTTTTTAATTTCCTTCTCACACTGTGAGAGATGGAGTAAAAAGGATAACTAACTATATTTTCTAGCACTGGTCTGTCTTGTGAGCACTGTGATAGGCTTTTACCATGTTTGCAACTCACTATGAATTGCATATTGGCTACTGCTGGTCCACGAACGCAACAACAGCATTTATACAGCAATCCCGGTATTCACAATATCACACAGGGTCCAGTATTATATGATGTTTCTATACAGCACTGCTTGCGAAAAGGTTAATATTACTACACTGTGTCGAATACATCTTTGATAATACTTACTTTTTAAATTAAAAACATTTTAAATGTATTTTGAAAACATGTTGGCTAACTTAATGTATAGACAAAAATAAATGCTATATAATGTTCTGCTTTTCTAGAATACAGGCAGGGGCAATGTTTTAAGAAATTCTATGCCTTCCTTGGTTTATAGAAAACATTCTTAATCTGTTCTGTATGCATGAGGAATTACTGCTATAAGTATGTGCATATTCTTGCCAATTTTGCAATAACAGTAAATGAATACTTGTATAGAAAAATGAACAAGAACAAAGAAGCCAAGAATATGCCTAAGCCATTTGTATCTCTTTCTTAATTTTTATGTGTCTATGTTTTGCTGTGTATTTAGTGTATAGCAACAATAGTATAGCTATATGTGGTTAACCATGTATAATCATGTGTTGACATAAGACAGAACATTTGGTTTATATGTTATTTTTCTTAGTATAGAAATCCGCAGTTACTGCATGCTAAGAAGCACAGCAATCGTTTCGCTGAGACAGGCAAAGGAAGTGGTCTGTTTGTGACTCAACACTGCTTTCCGGAACAGTTCATGCTTAATCTTAAAGAAATTTAGTGGCTTGCATATATGTTAAATAGATTTTTATATCTGAAAATCAAGACTTTGTATATTTACATAGCTGCCACTTATAGAATGTGTTAGCCATTAGAAAACATAATTTTTACAAGTAGATAGAACTCACATTTCCTGGTTTAAATTTAAACTGTGTCTCTATAAGTGTTTGTAGAGGTGTTGTGATCGAATGTGCTGTTTGGTCAGTGACTCATTACATTTATTTATTTATTTAACAATTCTGTACCCGGGCAGGTAACATACATAGATTATCAATAAAACCATAATCAATTCAGTTGAAATGCAGTAGACTATAGAACATTAAATGGACACTATAAGTATCCAGACCACTATATCTCATTTGAGTGGTTTGGGTGCAGTGTCACTGCCTCCTTAACCCAGCAGTGTAAAACATTGCAATTTTAGAGAAGACTATTGGCAAAAGTAAATCTTAATCCAAGTAAATCTTACATTTGTTATTATAGTGTTAGGAATACAGATGTGTGGTCCTAAAGTTATAGTGTTCCTTTAAGAAGGATGAAGATGGAGAGCTTAGAATGTTGTGATTATACAAGTACATTATGGGCAAAAAGGAGTGCAGTTTCTGTTGAAAAGCCAGGTAAATATTGAGCGCAGATGATGGTTCTTAGCTATTTATGAAATAATCTCTTCGCAAATGCTTTCAAATAGGGGAGAAGGAATTTAGTCCGTAACTGGTAGATTAGGCTGGATGAAGAGCTAAGTGATGGCTACCATCACTGAACATTAAAATGTCGAAAAATATGAGATAAGGAATATCTAGAAGGACATTGCTGAAAAACATAAAAACAATGGTATATCTTCAATAAAGGTCAGAAAGTAGTGTGAGAATAGAAAGTTAGTTAAGCCAGAATTAGTGATTGAAAAATGAGGAACATAATTACATAAATATATAAGGCCAGAAAAAGAGAAACTTAACTATGTTCTTTTAATGACAAACTCTGCACTTTTTCTTTTACTGTCCCTAATATGCTTTGTGATGGCCAGGATACAATGGCCATTAAATCTTCATATATTATGGATCTTGCTGACTGCGGCAACACCCAGCTTTTGCCGAACTGCACAAAAGTGAGGAATCCTTGGGCTACCCTGGGGCATCTTGTTGCTGTAACACCATGCCACAGCAATTTGTTGCCAACTGCCATAAAACAACAAACAAACAAAAAACCTTGTTGGTGAGTGAGAGTCTGCATCAGACTGTCAGAGCACTCTGATACCTAGAACCACAAACAGAAATGGGATACGGCTGTACAATCTATAGAGGGAACATATAAAGGAAAAAAAACACACAATAGTGTAATACAATAAATACAGTGAATAGTGCGCTTAAATGGATGCACTCACAAGATGATGAAAATAGAAGAGCATTCATGAGGTGCCTCCCCAGATAGCATAGGGGGCTAGTGGTTCCCCTTTCCGGTGTAAAACGACCAATGGAACACGGGACTCCAGGTAAGTAGTAGTAAAAAAGCAATTATTTTATTTTCTTAAAAGGTGAACAAACACCATAAGAATAAAGGTTAAAAAGTGCAGCAATAGGTCCAACGCGTTTCGTTCACAACTAGAACTTCATCAGGGACCGCACAGTAAAAAATCACAGACAATATCATAGATTGTAAAATAACATCCTGTCTGATCCACTCTGATACCTGCCAGTCAATGCTGCAGTTATTCTCTGTGCCATGATATGCATGTGCCAGGCTATTTCTGGACTACCTCATAATTATACAGCCAACATATACTGTCCAACTGTTACCCAGGCTTGCTGATTAGCCTGGGAGCCAATCACAGAAATAAAATGCCTTGGAAAAAAACAGTGTTTATTCCTTACCCCATAGTGTTAAAACCACAATCTAGCCCCCCCTTTCCACCCTTAAATATAGTAAAATCTTACTTTTATTCCAGTCTGCTAGTGCTAGAGCCTCCTGGGTGATCACCCCCACCGGTCCAGGGGGGGTTTGCGGGGCTCCAAATGCTGTACGCATTTCTGTGTTCACCGTGCTGGGAGATCGCCCGCCTCTCCCCTCCCTAGCATCCACTAGGCCCAAGTGGCAGTGCGGCCGGACGACCGTAATGACCGCAGGGTGCGTTCCCAGAACGGTCAGTCGATTTGGGGGTTCAAGATTATGTTGCCAGTCGCTGATTGAGAGTCACCGTTTCAGGTAAGTATAGTCTTTTCCTCGATTCACTGGGTCCTCTCTAAAATTGCATCTTGTTGATAAGCAGGCCCCGCCCCCCAGTACTTCTTTTTTCTGCACATTTCCTTAGAAATGCTCCCGCCCACTTGTTCCCACGTAGAGGGGAAGGGGCGGGAGCGAGAAATTGAAGCGCCCTCGTGCTGCTGCCGCCATTGGCTGTCTGGGCGGGTGGTCGTGGCTGAGCGCGTTGATTGGTATGCCGCCGGACCAGTGTTTTACCGGGCACTAGTGAGCAGCAATGTAAGAGTTCCCTAGCGCCTGGGAACATAGCTGGCGGCACGCTAGAAATAATAGGTGGCGGCCCCCCTTTAAGCAGCGCCCTATGCGGCCGCCTCATTGGCCTATAGGAAGCGCCGGCCCTTCTTGGCACCATAACAACTACAGCATGTTGGTTAAGAAGCCCTGGTTTATACACTATTGAAAGCTAAGATGAGTCCATTTTTTGGTGGTTTGAGGTTGGTGTTGCATTTCTAGATATTGATTTGGGAACTTTAAAAGGGTGGACTTTTTGATTTTGATATTTTATCTAATGGAACACTATATGGTCAGGAATACAAACCTGTATTCCTGACCCTATAGTGTTAAAAACATTATCTGTCCTCCCCTTGCCTCCCTAAATATTGTTTACCATTATTCCAGTCTGCTGGTGCTGGATCTGCCCCATATCTGCCTCCTTGGCTGACCTCATCAGAAGTGGTGATCCACAATGCCTTGATGGTTATAATTGTGTTTCATCGTTAATGTGCTTTTCTTTCACTGCCGATAGCTAATAAGGCCACTAATATTCATTATTACCTCATTTAAGAGATACCTGTATATGTTCAATTTCAGTGCCCCGTTATAAAGATGTAAATTTAGTGCAGTTAAAATAAACTCAAAACGACATTAGAAAATAAACAATTAGATCTTTTTACACAAACAGGAAGCATATGCAAAACTGCAACCGCATATCCTGCTTTGTTAGCAGGATGTGAGGCAATGCATAAGTGTCACAAAAAAATAGGTTAAAAAGGAAATATTAAGGAACCACAGACTATGTTTAAAAAAGCTGCAGAATAGAATACATAGATTTAATTTTGTTTTATGAGCAATTTCTACTGTGGTTTCTTTCATTGTAAACTGCTTGTATATTACCCCATTGTAGTCATTTTTGTCACCATTACAATGTTAGAAGGAGACTCCACTGCCCAAATCTCCATGAAAAAAATGAAAATAACTGTTTAGTAGATATACTTCCAATGCATTTAATTATGCAAACCTCTTGCCAAGGCTGGTGACTTTTTCCCCAGCCCAGACTTTTTGTGGCTGTTAAGTCACATACAGCAGCAGAGAGTAGACGGTACTTTCCAGTTGCTGTTCCCCACGATGCCGACATCTTCTTTCTTCAACTTCTGGCGCTTCATCCACCAGGAGCCCATGTCAGTGCTGTACTCTAGTGATTGAGCAAAGGTACCACACTAATGTCTATCCAGGATCCTGCGAGGAGCCTCCATAGATATTGTCTTGTAATAAGTGAGACAATGTCTTATTGCCCCGGCAATGCTACCGCCTGGGGGAATGGCAAATCTTGACAGAGGTAGTGGGAAAAAAAAGTACACAATACCTGTATTTTAGGAAAAAAAAGACTGAAAAAGAATAAAGGAAGATCTGATAAGGAGTGAGGAAAAGAAGAGGAATAGCTTTATCTATTAACACAGTTTAATGTTTGTGCAATACGTTAGTCTGGTATGTAATTTATATAATGATACTTTACTACTTTGTATGCAGATATACTTTTTTTTTTTTTTTTTCTCCTTTTTCTCATTTAAAGGAAATATATGTACTTGTTTCACTTTCAAAGCAAGTTCCTATTGTACCTATTTTTTTATTGCCGAGTTCCTTTTGCCTGGAATAAACCTTCTCTTTTTTGCTACAAAGAGCTTTTTGCTTTTTCTGATGCCAGCTCAAGTATTATCTGCCCATCTTTACTTATCCTCATTAACAGAGCAGATCAGAAGTCTGTGCTTGCCAATAATGAATCATTCCTCACGCGGCTCTTTAAAGCTATGCCATGGAATTGCAAGCTGCATGGAAATTCTGTCCAATCTGCTATGATTATTCAGCTTAAAAGTAATACAAATGTTCTCAACCATCCTTAGTTATTGCAACATCTTGTGAACAGGGCATAATGAATGTATAGGAAACCATTAAAGGAACAGTCCAAGAACCATAGCTACTACTTAGTATTGTAGTGGTTATGGTGCCAGGAATGCCCTGGGCCGCCCATTGTAAGTCTCCATACCATTTTAGAACGATCTGCCTGGCACCGCTTCCTGTCTCTACTACTTCAGACAGAAATAGTAAGTTCTTGAGCTAAGCCTTACAGTGCACATTTAGCTCATTGGCTGACAGTGTCTAAAACAGTTTGACCACTTCTAATGGTGGGGCACCAGGGTACCCTTGCCACCATAAATACAACAGTGCACTGTAGTGGTTATGGTGCTTGAAGTGTTCCTTTTAAAGAAAGTAAACCGCACAATATATATAAGACCTAGATCTATACTAATAAACAAACCACCAACCTGTCATACTGATAACACAATACATATTAGTTATTTGTAACAGGCATTCTTAAAAAGTTTGTAAAAAATATTCTACATCAGGGTTAGATGACAGGCAGGGCCGTCATAAAAGCATTATAGGCCCCTAGGCAAAGTAGTGCACTGGGGTCTTGCCTACACATTTGTAGTTTACAAGCCTATGGGGCTCTATGCTCGTGGTACCCCCAGTCAGCTTGACCATGTGTTAAGACAGCCCTGATGCACATCTTGCTGCACTTTAATTCCCATAGTTCTCTGCTAGGATTTTTATCACTAGGGCAGTGAAGACTCATGTCCTTTGTTTTCAAAA